TGTCGGCCCCCATTGGCTGTCGGCCCCTTGGGGGCGGTGCCTGAGCGCGTGGGCAGACTAAAAAGCTGAGGCCGGCCTGGGCTCGGGTCAGGCAAGGGTTGGTTTGTTCTTTGCTTGGGGCTTACAAGCCTGTAACTTTGGGGAGTTCTTATGGTTTATTTTGTTATTGTTGTTTCTGGGGCTTTGGCCTGGCAGTGAAGACAGACTGAGAGAGTTGGGCCTGTTCAGTCTAGAGAAAAGGCTCCAAGGAGACCTTACTGTGGCCTTCCAGTATCTCAAGGGGGCTACAAGAAAGGTGCTGAGGGGCTTTGTAGGATGTTGGGTAGGGACAGGACTAGAGGGAATGGATTAAGCCAGAGATGGGTCAATTCAGATTGGATATTAGGAAGAAGTTCTTCACCATGAGGAGGGTGAGACCCTGGCACAGGTTGCCCAGAGAGGGGGTGGCAGCCCTGTCCCTGGGAGTTTTTAAGGCCAGGCTGGATGGGGCTCTGGGCAGCCTGATCTAGTGGGGGATGTCCCTGCCCATGGCAGGGAGGTGGAACTGGATGATCTCTAAGCTCCCTTCCAACCCTGACAGTTCTATGATACAGTGGTGGGCCTGGCATTGCTAGGTTAGTCATTGGACTTGATGATCTTAAATGTCTTTTCCAGCCTAAACAATTCTAAGTGTAATTAAAGCAGCCTTTCAAATAACAGTGCTCTTTTTTTCTTTTTTTCTTTTAAATTAAGTGCCCCTGTTTTTCAACAAATGAGCAGTAATGCCTGACTGTAACTAGGACATGCTTCATCGGAACTGTGGGAAGATACTGTAAGCAGTTACAGGGAAAATATTAGAATGAAATATTTTTTCTTTTTTAGCCTTGTGGCCAAAGGCTAAAAAAACTAATTCAGCTGCTTGTGTTTACCAAAGAAGCAGAAGGGGGGGGAAAAGGAGGCAAGGTAAGGCTGGTTTTCCCCTATTCCCAGGCCATATAATGTCCATGTCTTCGTATACTCTCTTCAGAGTACTCTTTGTAATATTATGTAGCCAGTACATAAGTATGTGAAATTTCTGTTTGTAAAGTTAAATGATACTGCTGTTAACTTAAATTGTACTGGAAATACATTTGAATTTTTTAACAATCTTCTGTGCCAGTTTGTTCAGTAAGCGAGTATTACACCAGTTACTTCCCCTCTGATGTTATAAATATTCCTCAAACCTATGCAGGATATGATGACTCTGAAAAGATCCTTTTGATAATTCCCTAGAATGCAGTACAGAACAAATGCAGCTCAGTTCAATGTAAAGAGGTCTACAAATCTCTTGTAAATTCAAAAAGCAGTATTAGGAACGGCAAGGATGTAAGTTATTTCTAGGGATACCAGAGGTGATCTTCAAAAAGGAATCAGATGTAAAATCAAGTTTGTCTGAAAAAGGCAGGATACCCTACACACTGTCTGGAAAAGCAAGATTCTAAACCAAGAGGCGAAGTTGAGCAAGGTGCTTGGGGCACAAGAGGAACAGAATAGAGATTTGGGCTGCTGCCAGAGAGAAAGCCCCAGGACAAAATGTAATTTTTGTTGCAGAAACTGATTGCTGAGAATTAAGTTTTAAATACAAGTAGGCGGTTCTATAACATTCTGCATGACAGATGTGTATTCAGTAGCCTCTCTGAAAGTGGACTGTGGCTCATATCTGTTAACTTAAAACAGTAACAATATAGAAGTTGATTACATCCTAACAAAAATTAATTAATAATTCTGATGCAATTAATCAGAAGAAAGCAATAGAGAGTTTTACGTCTGTGGGTTAAGCCAGCAATTGCATAGTATTTCATGCCTGTTTTTTCAAATTGCGTTGGCTTGCTACACCCACCCCTGTGAAAGACTGAGAATACCAGGGTATATCCCACAAGAAAGTGGAGAGCCTCTTCCATCAGGAAATTGGCAAGGCCTGAGCAAAATTTGCCTGCAGTCCAGACCCAGAAGCCTGCCATTAGGGTAGCAAGGCTTTGTCACCAATTTCTGCCCATACAGGTATGGGACGTGCTGTGTAAGCGTTTACTAGACCAAGCTGTGACAGATCAGCAGGACACTTTAAATACAAAACTTAATAATACAACTACACGTTGTTCCTTAACCTCAGAGGAAGAGTCCGCGGTACATGTGGAGAGAGAAAGGCATCTGAGTCTGAAGTGATCGGTTCATTTTCTGCTGGGAGCGCTCATCGTTGTTATACCTACCTTAAACACTAGGGGTCACTACGGCACATAAAATCCGTACTATGGCGATTTCTCTGAAGCCCAAATATTCTGCAGGTATTTATATGAAGAATTAGTATGGTACTATTTAATTAGCGTGTCCACATTATAATCATTAGGTCTAGCCTGAATATTCATAGATGCTATTTTCTGTGATGCAGGCATTTACATGCCACTGTCAAGTTGTTCCTACTCCCCATTACAAGATAGTGTATAATTGTGAAATTGGAGTTTAAGATTGTGATCTCAGTTCAGAGGTGAACACTTCCTCTTGCATGCTTTGCTGAGGGTAGAAGACTTCCGTAAAGATACAGCAGGAGCTGGATGCTGTCGCCACTTCACTGGTTGAATGCATTTATGGTATTGCTGAATCTTCAGGTTTTGAATAAGCTACCTACCAATGCAAATGCAGTAGGGTTGTAAGCAATTTTTAGGTTCATGGTTCTTCTGGTTTGTCTGTCAAGAAATTCAGCAGAAACTGTTCTAGTGGGTATAAACTAAGACATGTATATTAGACACTAATTATTACAGGAAGAAGCTTGTACATATTCAGAAAGCTCAGATGATGATATTGTCATCTTTCAGTTGTATTTGTTTCCTTCCACTATTCATTTTGGTCTAGGTAGTGCCTGTACTTGCCAATGCAAAAGAGGTAGCTTCTGTCAGAGAAACAATAACCAGACAATCCAGATAGCTGACTTTGAGAAACCAGCCTTGCTCTCTGAAAAATGCATATGCTAGAGAGTTGAACTTGGTCGTAAAATGCACCAAAAATTGAGAGCTGGTTGCTTACGTCCATAATTTAACTGAAGCGGAGAATCAGACCCTAATTAGTACACTACTGGCATCACATTTCAAACTAAAATATTCAGATGACTTTGAGGAGTAAGAGAAACAGGGCAAAAGTCAAAATCAGCTAATATATAACTAACAATACAAGCCTCTGCTGCAGAACATTCATTAGTTGAAAATAACTGAGACGTTGAAAATAACTGTGTGTACCAGCTGGTCACAGGATGACTGTGAATCATGAATGTAGTGTGGGGATGAGAAAGGCAAGCATGACCATAGAACGCATCAAGAGGTATTTAAAACAGGGAGAGGGAAATAATTATGCTGTTGTATAAAGATCTAATAAGGCTTTTCTGCAGTGCTTTGTGCTATTTGGGGATGACCGCATTCAAGAAAGATGATCTCATACTTGAAACAAGTGCAAATAACAGCTTAAAGCTTAAATTGCACTGTATATGTTAGATTTTCATTGAAGCACTCCATGATCCTTGCGCCCCTTGGGACAGGCAGCTCCTGTCCCTACTGACTTGAGAAGGAGTAGCCCCCTGGCATAGCAACTATTTCACCACTCATTTGTTTTTATCCGTTTTCCACCCTTTAGACCTGTCTACACCTGTTAGGAAGGGAAAGAAAATTATGGAAGAAAACTAGGCTTCCAGCAAAGTGAGAGTGAAGTTGAAGGAGAATAATTGTCCTGTTCTCCAGCCTGGTCGTGTACCTTTGTCCCGTATTCTGAATGAGGATGTAGGTACTACCTCTTTTGTCCTGGTATCCAGTTACGTGTCTGGAAAATCTCTTAAGTGGGATCCTGACTGGGAAGTGAAACATATGACCTCAAAAATCTACTGAAGTACTAGGCAAGATCTTGAAATGTCATTTTTGTGGAAAAGAATGAATTTGTAGCAAGGCCTTTTCCAGAACCGAATATAGTGAAAAGTCTGCATGGGTTCTCAGTTTTGTGTACTGAGGTCTCAACATTGCTCAGGTGAGCCCTACATGCTGAAGAAACTGTAAGCTTGCTAATTATTGTGTTGTGTTTTTTTTTCTTCTGTGGTGGCAGGAAGAAGGTGTGAAGGCAGAGGCAGATTGTTAAGTATGCGTCATTTCAAATGTGTTGCTGTAATGGTTATTCCAAATGGCAACGGTTATGGGAAGCAGGACCATGCTGAAGGCTGTGTACAGAAAGCAGTATATATATATGCTAAGCACACATTTCCTATACCCCTTTAACGTACAAATCAAAACATCTGTTAAAGCCTCACTTCTAATGTATGCTATGTCATTCCTGACCAGCTTTTCCTATGTAGTCTTTCTTCAGGTGAGAGCAGAGGATGCATCTTGGTCAAGTCGGGCAAGAGAGCCAGTTCCTCCAGTCTTCGAGCCTGCAGCCTGGGCGACTGAGTTGGTGATGTGACTCTTGACAAGCATGTGAAAGCCCAAGTCTGTGATGCAAAAGACTGTGAACAGAGGCTGAGTTGTTGCACCTAATACTATTGGTAAGTCTGTGGACATTCTCCAAACACTACCTTCTATCCCCGGCCTGAACGGTAGGCAGGTTGCCCAAACCGGCGGCATTTCCACTGGCATATCTCTTCATATTGCTGCAGGGAAATTTCCCCAGAAGCAGAGCCATGCCCATAACCAAAGGCATGGCCCTACAGACACTTATCAAGGCATTCCTCTCTGCTCTCACCACACTTTGTGAGCAATCCATGCAAATGAGCAGGCTGATTCACTGATCTAAAGATGTATATTTTTATAGTGCATCACAGATTATGCTAAATAGTGAGCACTGAGGATCAGGGTAGAATGCAAAGCTGTTTAATAGCCATAGGGAGTATCCCTGGAGACCTGTCAGTGTGAGGAAGATCTGGTGCAACTCATGTCTCTGTCACATAAATAGGATCTGAATTTCACTCCCATTTGCGCTCAGGTTTGTCTTCTCCATGAGCACTTTCACTTCCTTCGGTGCAGTCATGTGTGAGTCAAGATATAATGTTCATGTGTTCGTGAGCCTTGGTGTAAAACTTAGTATGTCAGTGCAGTAGCAGAGAGACAGGCAAAGTGATCAGTGAAAGCAACAAAACACCTTTCATTAAGGCTAGCAGCTCTGGAAAAGAGTGGTGGTTAACTATACAGTTGGCATAGACAATCGGTCAACAAGAAAGTTATTCTCCACCCTTTAGATGTTTTTTTCATTTTCTTCTTCACTTCAGAAAAAAGGGCTTAAGTTAACTACACAGTAAGGCCTGAAGAGAACCTGTAAAGGTCAAGGCCTTTAAAAAGAGAAGAGAAAATCTGAGGTTTTCAAGAGAAATGGTGTTTAACATAGGTGAGTTTCTGTAATGTTTTCAAGGCCTGTGAAACCCAAAGCATGCTTTTCTTTCTGCAGCTTGGGGGCAGGGCTGAAGTAAAAGATAAAATTATGATTTTTCATTGGCTTACTGTTAAACTACTCACAATTTGCTTTTTATCAGAACACTCAAAAGAGCAATTTCCACTCTGCACTTCAGCTTGTAGCAGCCTACTTCTGTATAAATGCAATTAATCTGTCTGCCAGTCTTCCTCTTTCTCTACAGGTTTATTTCAGTGGTCATTCATGAGAGCTACTTAAGAACAAAAGTCCCCAACATTTCTCTTGCAGCTTGGAAAGTAAAAATTAAAGAAGGTAAAATCAAAGTATGTTTCAGAGTTCTTGTAGCATCTTATGTATAGCTTTTGCTTACATGTAGTTTCCACAGGCATAATGAATATTAATGTTACAATTTGTACCAGGATGCATAGCAAGTTTTTCTAGCTTCACAGAGTTCAGTAAGGAAACCATTATAGCTTCTAGTTGAGATCATAAACTGAATGCAGTAGGAGAATTATTTTGTAGATTAGCTTAGTCAGACATGGAAGTAAGACTTATTCTTACTGTTTACCATGAAGAGATGCCTTCCGTAAGTAGGGGTTCAGGTGAAGTGGAGCATGCATAAGCATAGCATCTCAGTTCCTGAAAAAAAAATAAAATAAAATTGGAGAATACGATTCCTCTGCATGTCCATTTCTTGCTGTAGTTTATATTGCATTGTGCTTGCATGCTTGCATGTGGGAAGAAATTCCCTGCAGGCAGGGAAGGAAAATTAAACTATCTGTACCCTATCTCAATCTGCGTCTATAGTTTGATCCAGCCAGCCCAGAGTTTCCTAATAACTTCTGTCCCACAAGATCTTATTTACTTTCCCTCTCAAAATACAAATGTATTCAGGCAGGAACTGCCTTATGTTATTTCTTCAGATTCCTATAGACAAGACACAGTTAAATTAAGTGAGCCTTTGCTACAAAATCCCAAAAGTTTGTGTGGGACCACAAGGCAAAGGACACATTCACAGAGAGGAAGTCAGTCAACAGGTATTTAATGCAAGACAGTGTCTCTGGCTTGCAAAATCCTTGCACCACAGACTGTTGAAGTCTGGGAGAATATTCTGTAGAAGCAGTGGTGTGTGCTTGTCCTCACACTCTTCCTCAGGGCTCCGTTCTTTGGCCACGGGACAGACAGGATACTGAGCTGGGTGAGCCTTTGGTCTGACTGAGTTTTTAGGTTTTTATTTTCTTTCTGGTCAAGTGAATAATACAAATGAGTAAGTTTAGCATGATAAAGTTTAAAAATTCTATAAAATCACTTCATACTTTAATTACATAAAATCTCTGGCCCCACAGGTTTTATCTGTGCCCTGTAAGAGAAAACAAATGGCAGGTGAGAGAGTAAAGCCCTACTAGTCAACAGTGTTGATGGTATAAAAACTACTGTCATAATGAAGTTTGTAATGGAATATTGCATGTGTCAGCAAAGAAACCAATACTGCTGGGATTTGGTTTTGCTGTGAGGACTGAAATAGATGCATCTATCAATACTTGGGAGATAACTGAATGTATCTGAAAACTAGGGCTTCAAAAACAAAAAGAAAACTGATAACTTAAAGGAAAGGCATTCCTAGAAAAAGAGATGAGAACCTGGAACATAGACATACACACTCAGGAAAAAAAAAAATCATTTTTGGTATACATCAGAGTCAAAGAATGACCCAGATTGACCTAAACTGTGTCTTAGTGTTTAATATTTTTCTTTTGTTCTTCAATAAGCACACAGACTGAAAGGCCAAGAGTTTTTAACTATGTTTTCTTTTTGAGTATTTCAGTAAAAAGAAAGTACAGAATCATTTTTCTTCAACTCAAAAGTTACTCCTAACTTTGTTTAATCATTACTTTTAAAATAGCCAAAAGCTTTCATTCTGATTGCTTATTAAAATAATTGATTAATTATGTCATATTTTAATATAGAATTCATTTTTACATATAGAGGCTAAATTAAGTATGATACGACGTAGCAATGTTTTCTGATTTACTGTGGAAAAAACATGATTCACTTAGACTTAGACTAATCGTAGAAAATTACAAATTTGGACATCAATATGAATACATTTGATGTAATTAATTTACTGCTTTATAACATCTTAATTAGGAAGATTTCTCACCTTTGGTATTATCTTGTCAAAACAAGTCATGACCAGCATTTCCCCCTCCATGTTTTAACCACACTTTCAAAATCACCATAAGGTGACTGAATAGCACTGTCCTCGAATATGGAAGATTTCTATTCATGTTTGATTGTCAGGACAAATGTCCTACCAAAAAGGCTGTTTAGTATTTAGAATACCAGTTAATGATTTTTGTGAGCAGCACAGTTCTTGGCTTCACTTTAATTTTAAAACTTCATAATTTTTCATGAGATGGAATAGTTGTTTTCAGTTTAATCCTCAACAATGAGCTTCAGCAATTCAAGCAGATGAAATCTCTGATGCTGCTTTGCTAATGGCATCACTTGTTACTGGAACATAATTCAGTACGTTGGCTGAGAGACTGTTTCTGACATGAGCACTCTCTATGAGGGGAAAAGATTTTCCTAGATTAGACATGATTTTTTTTTTTTAGTAGGACATGCTAGATTGTTAACCGTTTCATTACTGGTGTCAAAAATATTGCAGGGAAAACAAAATCAAAACACAACCCTGGAAACAACACATAGTAAGTTATACCTCTAAGCCAATTTTCTTTTCAAACATATTGAAAGATATTTAAGAGAATATCCTTTAAAAAATCATAAAAATACCAAAACACTACAACAACCAAAAAAAGAAAATTTCATTGCCAACGAGGAAACAGGTAATCTACGTAAGGAGATTCTCTAGGAGTAATTGGTATAGATCTTATAATTAATTATTTTATCTCCTTTTAGCCATCCTTAAAATTATGCTTATATTGTTTCACATTCTTCTTTATAACTCTTAAAAGTATTACTTAAATTGAACAGATATTTTAAAATACACAAAATATCCGCTGTTCAACTAATCTATACAAGCAAATTCTTTTGATATCTAGTCCTCTACTTCAGTGAAGGCAATCATGCGCTGTTTCCCTAGAGAACAAATCAATAGGAAGTAAGTACTTTCAAAGTACTTAATGCTCCCTGTACTAAAATCACCATACCTGGTTTCCCCATAGCAAAACTTTCTGCATTTTACTTCAAAAAGCTGAACAAACTAGGCTATTTGAATGGTAAATGTTAAGATACAGTCATCCCCTCTGTTTTTTCAAGTGATGGAAATCTGAAGTGATGACCACATGTAATTTTTATTGTAGCAGTCTTAATTACTGCTGAACTGTAGTTCTGAGCTACAATTATTTGAAATATGACAGCCTTATCCTGTCCTGCTGCCCTTCTCCACGCATAGGCATTCACACAACATCCAGGAGATAGACTTTTGTTATATCTGTCACAGTATTGCTTCCATTTCTGTTTTAACTTGTATGTTTCTGTGCTCTGTGAAACAACCAATACATTTTTTAATACCCTCAAATGATTCATATTTCTTTGTCAAATGGGGAAAACATTACAGATGGAATCGTGAAAGAAAACTGTAGTACTTTTCAATTTTTTTTTTCCCAGTTTGATCCTAGCTCATGGGTGTGACAATTTGGGTGATGCTTGTGTCATCCTTCTCCACACATTTTAGCTAAAAAAATCTACAGTTGGACTGTTCCGTCATATGTAAACCTGAAACTTTTAAAGGGAACCTTTGATTTGGATTTTTACTATAATCAGGATTCAAGATCCTCACTGACTGGTAAATGTGATTTTTGTAAACAGTGGGGGAAAATGCTTTATTCTTTGGATGTTCCTTGGCTAGAATTTGCCTCCCCTAAATGCAGGGTAACTTTAAGGCAGAGAGCTTCTTTCTTAGTTTTTGTTGGGATGGACAGTAAAAGGTATTGTATTTAAAGAGGTACGTGCTATTCCCCTGGCTTATCATGAGAGGAAGAGAGGAGGCAAAGAAACCTCTAAGAGTTTATTTTTGCACATTTATCACTGTAGCCATGCACTAGTCCCCGGTGCTACCCCATTTATCTAGGACAAAAGGAAAAGTGTAACAGAGGCTAAAGAAAGTAGGTCAGAGCACATGAGCTTGTATGTGCCTGCCAAAGAGGGCTCTGTAGGTAGATGAAGATAGTGGAATATTTTTCTGTGTGCAGGACCACCTCAGTGGGTCTGTTTGACTAGATGGTATATGTATTCTAGCATCAGTGCACAGTTTTTTGACCACACGCCCA